ATCAGGCCAATGGATCCTGGATTAGAGCTGGGGATCAGGCTGGTGACTGCTCCAAACCTGGATTTGAGGATCAGGCCACTGGAGGAGGGTCCTGGACTGGGTCTAGGCCTGGGAATGGGGCCAGTGGAGGATCTTGGACTAGGGCTGAGGACCAGGCCAGTGGAGGGTCCCAGGTCAGGGCTGAGGTGGAAGCTGACAAAGGATCCTGGGTTGAGGCTGGAAATGAGACTAGGTCCTGGTTCTGGGAGGGGGAAGAGGGTGGTACTGTGTCCAGCCCTGGAGGTAAGGATGAAGCCGGTGTTAAATCCAGATCAGGGACTGAGGAGGAGACCATCATTAGTTCCAGGTCTGGGCCTGAAGACAAGGTCAGTGTTGGGTCCTGGATACGATCTGATGAGGCAGCCTATATGGGTTCCTGTGCAGGGGCTGAAGGTGAGGCTGAGGCTAGGATGGGGTCTTGGCTCTGGAATGGAGATGCAGCCACTAAAGGGTCTAGTCATGGGGCTGAGGGAGAGCCTGGCATAGGGTGCTGGACTTTGGCTGGGAATGTAGATGAGGAGGAACTAAATAAAAGGTCCAGCCCTGATATTGAGGAGATCAGTTTAAGGTCCTTGTTTTGGGCTGAAAGTGAGGACAGTACTGAGTTCAGATCCAAGACTGGGAAAAATGTCAAATTTGAGTGTGGGGCTGGGGATAAGGCCAAAATCAAGGATAAGCTTGAGGCTGCTGGTAAAGTAAATGTAAAGTCTTGCTTTGCTGATAATGAGAACAGAAGCCAGGGCAAATCTAGACCTAGGGCTCAAGCCAATATGTCAGCTGAGTCAAGAGGCACATATTTGTCGTCCATGGTCCCTGGGGCAGGAATGGGGTCATGGGCTGGAGCCATGATCTGGACAGAATTAAAGTTTCCATACCGAAATGAGTCCTGCTTCCCACCTGAAGATGAGCTCAGAAAGCAGATCAGGGCTGGGGAGAAGATTCAGCCCTGGGCCTGCCGCTGTAAACGTGAAGCTAATATGGATCCTCGAGAGTTTGAAAAACTCATTTGCATGATTGAGATGACTGAGGATCCTTCCATTCATGAAATAGCCAATAATGCTCTTTTTAATAGTTCCGTTTATCCCTATTCCCAAGAAGTTATTCGTAATGTAGGTGGAATCTCAATTATCGAAAGCTTGCTCAGTAATCCCTACCCCAGTGTTAGGCAGAGGGCTTTAAATGCACTAAATAACATCTCAGTGGCTGCTGAAAATCATAGGAAGGTTAAAACATACATAAACCAAGTGTGTGAAGACACTGTCACCTATCCCGTGAATTCAAGTGTGCAGCTAGCTGGACTAAGATTGATAAAGCACCTGACTATTACTAGTGAATATCAACATATGGTTACAAATTATATTTCAGAATTTCTTCGTTTGTTAACTGTGGGAAGTGGAGAAACTAAAGACCATATTTTGGAAATGCTTTTGAATTTCTCTAAAAATCCGTCTATGACAAAAGACTTGCTCATTGCCAATGCACCAACATCACTGATTAACATCTTTAGCAAGAAGGAGACAAAAGAGAATATTCTTAATGCTCTTTCACTATTCGAAAATATAAATTACCATTTTAAAAAAAGATCAAAAGTATTCACCCAGGACAAGTTTGGTAAAAATTCCCTTTACTTCCTGTTCCAACGACCTAAAGTATGTGCCAAGAAACTTCGAGTCTTAGCAGCTGAATACAATGACCTTGAGGTGAAAGAAAAAGTTGAGCTATTAATAAGAAAACTCTGATTGGCTGTATGGTTCCAAATAAATTTGAATAATAATTTGGTTTTGCAGCCTGGAAATAATGTACATTGTAAATTACATTATAACTTCAAAACTGATGTGACCTATGATAGCCTATAGCTGGACCATTTTATGAGCACCAAATGAATTCAAACTTGTACTGAAAATATATGTGTTGATTTTTATCTTGCCTGGATTAAGATATTTTTAGTATGCTTCATGAGCAGAAACTGAACTGATTCTACATAAGATAATCTTTGGTCCTTTGTGTGGACTTATGTTTATACATTTGAGACTTTATTTTTATGTTATCAATAAAGTTGTGTGTTTTAAGCAAAAAAAAAAAAAAAGAATCGTCCTTGTCTTTGAGTTTATAATCTATTTGGAAAGGTAAGATACGTGGAAACAAAAAGATGATCACGGCCAGATGCTTTTCATCAGTGCTTAGAGGAGGCAGAAGCTGCTGCCAGCAGTGCTCAGGGAAAGTTTTACAGAGGAGGGGTATGCTTACGTAAGCTGGGCTTGAAGGCCAGGGTAAGCAAGGGTCAGAAGGGCATTTCAGGAGGGAGGAGTGGTGGGAAAAAAAGCATGGGAGCCAAAATCCTGCTCCAGAGAGGAGGCTGGCCTGCCTGGAGTGGAAAGTGGGGAGGGGAATAATGGGAGACGGAGTTGGACAATGGGGTGAGCTCTGTTGGTGAGTGAGGTGTCTGAATGATACTTCATCCACCCCTGCAGCCACCAAAGGAATGACTATGTGAAAGGAAAATGAATGTGGCTGGTCTGTGTGAAGGATGGGTGGTAGCGGGGTGGGGCGAGGGGTGGCGACTGGAGTTTGGAAAACCAGTTAGGGAGTTACCACCATAGTCCAGGCATGAGACAATAAAGGTGTAGACTTTCACTGGTGGCTGTGGGGATGATAAGAGGAGGATGGAAGTGAGAGACCCTTCAAAAGATTAAGTGCTGGAACCTGTTGGGGCACACAGAAAGGGCCAATTTTATGATCCCGGGGGTATTTGCTAGGAAAGTGTCTTCTTTCTTGGCCAATTGTGGTGTCTATGTAGCTGAATAAGTTAACTACTATTTTGAAACCATAAGAATATAGTCATAAAGAATAATTTTCAGTGCTTATATCAGATTTATAAGGTTGGTTGGGGCGGGGCCTTTATGGGACCATTGAGTGTGATGTTGGGATTTATATAGGAGAAGATCTGCCTCTCTCCCACCCCATAGTGTTGGTGAAGATGTGGGGAAAGGGGCGCTCTCAAACTGTGCTGGTTGGTGGGAGTATACATTGGTACAAGGTCCATTTGGACACATGTTTCAGAAGACTTCAAGATCTGCATACCCTTTGACCCAGGTATTCCATTTGTAGAACTTTAGCTTTTGGAAACAATCAAGTAATCGGTTTATACAAAGCTATGCATCTCCATACTATTATTTTCTTTTTTCCGGAAGTTTTTTTTTTTTTAATCATTTTGATCAAGATTGCATAGAAAGAGGCAAGACTTCGTCTCACATACTTTGGACATGTTATCAGTAGGGACCAGTCCCTGGAGAAGGACATCATGCTTGGTAGAGGTCAGTGAAAAAGAGGAAGACCCTCAATAGGATGGATTGACATAGTGGCTGCAACAGTGGGCTTAAGCATAACAAGGATTGTGAGAATGGTGCAGGACCAGGCAGTGTTTCGTTCTGTTGTAGATAGGGTCGCTATGAGTCGGAACTGACTCCATGGCACCTAGCATACGCAGATACATCCATTGCTGGTGGGGTTGTAAATGGTGCAGCTGCTGTGAAAAACAGTTTGGTGCCACCTCAAAAAGTTAAACATAACTTCTTGAGGTAGCACCAGACCTTATGACCCAGCAATTCCACTCCTAGGTATATAACCAAAAGAATTGAAAGCAAGGACTCGAACAGGTGCTTACTTGTACACCAGTGTTCGTTGTAACACTAGTCACAACCCAAATGTCTATCAGCAGATGAGTGGATATATAAAATGTGGAATATACAAACAATGGAATGCAGCCATAAAGAAAATGAAGTTCAGATACAAGCTGTGAGTTGGATGAACCTTAAAAACATGCTGAGTGAAATAAGTTAGAAACAAAAGGACAAATATCGTATGGTCTCACTTATATGAAATATCCAGTGTATGGAAATGCAGAGAGAACAAAGTTTATTAGTGTTTACCAGGGGTGGATAGGAGAGTGAAGTGGGGATACTCATATCCTCACCAACACCTCTTATTTTGTTTGCTTGTTTTTTTAATCATAGTCATCTTAGTGGGGGTGGAGTGATATCTCACTGTGTTTTTTTTAAATTTTTTTTCTTGTACTTTAGATGAAGGTTTACAGAACAAATAGTTTCTCATTAAACAGTCAGTACACAAGTTGCCCTATGACAATGGTTAACAACCTCACAACACATCAACACTATCCTTACTCAACCTTGGGTTCCCTATCACCAACTCTCCAGTCCCCTCCTTCCTTCTAGCCCTTGTCCCTGGACTGCTGTGCCTCATTAGTCCCGTTTTGTTTTATGGGACTGTTCAATCCCCGGCTGAATGGTGAACCTCGGGAATGACTTCACCACTAGGCTAAAAGTGTGTCCTGGGGCCATACTCTCGGTGTTTTGCCAGTCTGTCAAGCCAGTAAATCTGGTCTTTTTCTTTTCTGTGAGTTAGAATTTTGTTTACATCCTTCTCCAGCTCTGTCCAGAACCCTCTGTTGTGATCCTGGTCAGAGCAGTCAGTGGTGGTAGCCAGGCACCATCTAGCTGTACTGGACTCAGTCTGGTGGAGGCCGTGGTAGCTGTGGTGCATTAATCCTTTGGACTAATATTTTCCTTGTATCTTGTTCTCTTCATTCTCCAGGAAGGTATAAATTAAATTTTTAAACAAATATTATGTAAATACAGGTGCAAGTGTAAATGTTAGAAAAATTAAATCTTATTAACTACTATAAAAATAAAACCATTTTAAATTCTAACATTCAATGGCTACCAACTTTCCAATGTAAAAATAAAATGGTATCATGCTTGTGGTGGTTCTTTGGTGCTGCCCTAATCTCCCTTCAGAAATAAAGAGCTTATTATTTCAGTTGCTCAGAGTGCCACTAGCAGACGGCTCTCAGCTGTCAATTTTCTTCAGGAATTCCCTCAGCTGAAGAGAGCCACCTTCACCAAGGTCATACCCCCTTCCTGGGGACATTTCACAGCCAGTGCCTGATCAGCATTATCTTCTTGCCCCAGATTGGGACAACTTAACTTCTCCCTCTGTCCAATCCTGTTTCCGTCTTTTCCCTTCCACAGGTATTGATCCCAGGAGCATTCCCTAATAAAAGCCCTTCATGCTGAACTCTATCTGAGTCTGTACCGCAGGAAACTAACCTGCAACAGTTGGTTAAAAAAGTGGTTCAAGAAAACATATACTGTGATTAAATTTTGGAGCTGGACCACCCAATGCCCAGATGGCAATGAAGGCTCCATCACTGGTGGTAGGTTGAGTAAGTAGGCCCTTGGCACAAGGTGGCAAAGCAATTGTTACAGCTTTCACCGGTGGTGAACTGGGTTGGCATACTGGTGGAAGGGAATACATTAACTGGTGCCGTGTATCAGAACTTTGAGAAATATTACATATAAGGAAGGCCAAGGAATTGGATGGCTATTGCTAAGCCTTATTAAACTCTGGGAAAAATAATGAAAAGCAGGGTTCAATTAATTGACAATTAAAAGCGAAGTATGAAAGCCAGAGGACTTCATGCATAGCATATAAAGAGGCTCTCATCTTTTCCAGCTACAGGGTAGAGAAAGCTGAGGACCAGACCCAGGACTTATTGAAAACGAGCTTCAGAGACAGTTAAAATCCCAACCATAACAAGTCTGCTATGCCAAGATTGGGGCCTTGGTTAGGAAGGAATAGGACCCTGACATGGGATGGGCACATCTGGATTGGTGTCCTTGAAAGGCATCTATCCCGATTTCCCTGAACCCCTTGAGCATTCAGAAGTCTATAACTAGGGCTAAGTCCCAGCATAACCTAGCTGGGGATGTGCTGGACCTGACAAAAGAGGAAAGGGAATATACCAACAAGGAGCTGCAAGACCTAGCCAGCATGGACTGACAGGTGCTGAGGGAGTACGCATGAGACTGAAATCTGAGGGGCCTGATCAGGGGGGCCAGAATATAAAATTAAATAAGGGAGAATGAATTGATTTGAGAGTGTTCGCCCACAATACAAGATTTGACACCCTGGCAAAGACCCCAGGAAATGACTTGAACTCACTACTAGGATGACTCCTCAAAGTATGGAAAAAACAATAGCCCACATTAAGTGAGGTATAAATGTCAGAGTGGCTATAGAAGATGGTAGAAGAAGAGATTAAAGGCTCAGAGACGTGGGAATGACAGAATAAATATATAAGATCAGAAAACCCTCCAGAGGACTATGTTCTGTAGGAGGACCCAAAGGATACACCATTTACCAAAGCTATAAGGAAGGCACTGATGAGAGGTGTACCAGTATCACTAGGAAGCTCAGTGGTGGCTTGCCTCTAAAGGCAAGGGCTCAGAGTAGGAGAGGGTGTTACAATGTTACAGAATTAGGATCACTGATAGAAATGATGATGATCCTGAAACAATAGAGGCAGGATGGCTGCACTTAAGTGTTGGAAGCCAGGTAGATGCCAATATCATAATGCACAGCAGGGTCAGAGTGGCAGGCATGGAGGCCTGACCTGCAGAGAGCTATGGAGGTGGTTAATAGAACACAATGCCTCTGGGGAGTAGGTGGTTAATACATTGTTAATATAACACGGATGTCAATAGAACACAGTGCCATGGGCAAAATAGATAGGCAGCCAGCAACTTGTACTCAATCTGCCCAATCAAAAGAAATCAAAGATGGTCAAGAGTGTGAGGGACGTTGCCTCAATTAAAAATCACAATCTCTTGCCCAGCTCTGGACCTAAGCCAGTTTTTTACCTGGAATACATTGTTTGAAGGAGAGGCTGGGTGCCCAGGAAGAAGACTCCTACAACATATGCATAGTAATGATTCCTCCAGTCCTTCCATTTACTCAGGTAACCCAAACATTTTGAGGACTGATGATGGACACTGGGTTCGAGTTGATGTTGATACTCAGAGACCTGAAGCGTCATCATGGCCACCCTGTTAAATTGGGGGCCAGGCACTAAATGGGATCCTAGCTTAGGTCTGATTCACAGTGGGTCCACAGACCCACCTGGTGGTCACTTTCGTGGTCTCTGAATGTGTAATTGAAATAGACTTAATTTGGCAGTTGCTACAAGCCCCATGGGAGCCCTGGTGGCACAGTGGTTAAAACGTTCAGCTGCTAACCAAAAGGTCAGCGGTTCAAACCTACCAGGCATTCCATGGGAGAAAGACGTGTCAGTCTTCTTCTGTAATGATTTACAGCCTTGGAAACCCTATGGGACAGTTCTACTCTGTTCTATAGGATCACTATGAGTTGGAATAGACTCAGTGGCAGTGGGTGTGTTTTTCTTTTTCTTTTTTCTTTTTTCTTTTTGGATTTACATGCCCCATATTGGTTCCTTGGTCTGTGGATACAGAGGTATTTGTAGATGAAAATGCCAAGTGGAAGCTTCTGAAACTGCCCTCCCTTCCCCTGGCCAAGATAGGAAATGAAAACATATAGCATCCTGGGAAATTAATGCTGCCTTTAAAGATCTAAAGAATGCAGAGGAAGTGGTCTCCATTATATCTTCATTTAATTTACCAGTTGGCCCCTTGCAAAAAGTGAATAGAGAGAGACTGGCGGATGACAGTGTTGTTGTGTGTCATTGAGTTGATTCTGACTCATAGTGACCCTATATGGCAGAGTAGAACTGCCCCATAGGGTTTCCTAGGCTGTAGTCTTCACAGGAGCAGAGTGCCAGGTCTTTTCTCCCACAGAGCAGCTGATGGGTTCGAACTGCCGACCTTTTGATTATTGACCAAGTGCTTAACCATTGTACCACCAGGGCTCCTTGTCAGATAACAGTAGACTACTGCAAACTCAACCAAGTGGTAACAATTGCAGCTGTCGGGCCAGACATGGTATCTTTGCTAGAGCAGATTAACCTGACTTTATTGTTGTTAGTTGCTGTCAAGTCAGCTTCATCTCATGGCAACCCCAATGTACAACAGAACAAAACGTTGCCCAGTCCTGCACTGTCTTCATAATCGTTGATATGCTTGAGTCCATTGTTTCGGCCACTGTGCATTTTGAGTGACTTCCAAGCTAGGAGGCTTATCTTCCAATACTATATTGAACAATATTCTGTTGTGATTCATATGGTTTTCATTGGCTAATTTTAGGAATTAGACCACCAGACCTTTCATCCTATTCTGTCTTAGTCTGGAAGCTCTGATGAAATATGTCCACCATGGGTGACCCTGCTGGTATTTGAAATACTGGAGCCATAGATTCTAGCATCATAACATACAAACCACCACAATGCAACAAACACCGCTTTAAAAAAAAAGTTGCCATTGAGTAGATTCTGACTCATAGCAACCCTATAGGACAGAGTAGAACTGTCCCATAGGATTTCCAAGGCTGTAATCTTTACAGAAGCAGACTGCCACATCTTTCTCCTGTGGACCGGCTGGTGGGTTCAAACTGCCGAACTTTCCGTTAGCAACTGAGCAATTAACTACGGCACCACCAGTGCTCTTTGGCAGATAACATGGTCTTAGCTACCTGATATTCAGCTATTGATTTGGGAAATGTGTTTTTTACCATCCCTATTAGAATGGAGGTTTATGAAAAGTTCACATTCACATAGTATACATTTATAGTTTTTCCTCAAGGCTCTACTGACTCTCCTGCCCTCTGTCATAATATAGTCTGAAGAGATCTGGACCATCTGAACATTCTGCAGAATATCATACTAGTCCATTATGTTGATGACATCATGCTAACTGGATCAAAATGAATCAGAAGTGGCTAACATGTTGGAGGCCTTGGTAAGACACGTGCATTCCAGAGGATGGGGGGTAAACCCTACAAAGATCCAGGAGTCAGCCATATTAAGTGCAATTTTTAAGGACGGAATGGTCTGGGGCATGCCAGGACATTCCCTCCAAAGTAAAGGACACATTATTACATTTTGTACCTTTCCCATGAAGAAGGAAGCTGAATGCCTAGTAGGCCTCTTTGGGTTCTGGAAGAAGCCCATTTCATACAAGAGATTACTGTTTCAATCCATATGCTGGGTGTCTTGGTTATCTAGTGCTGCTATAACAGAAATACCACAAGTGGATGGCTTTAACAAAGAGAATTCACTCTCTCACAGTCTAGTAGGCCAGAAGTCAGAACTCAGGGCATCAGCTCCAGGGGAAGGCTTTCTCTCTCTGTCGGCTCTGGAGGAAGGTCCTTGTCATCAATCTTCCCCTGGACTAGGAGCTTCTCAGCGCAGGAACCTCGGGTCCAAAGGGTGCGCTCTGCTCTCAGCATTGCTTTCTTGGTGGTATGAGGTCCCCCTGTCTCTCTGCTCGCTTCTCTGTTTATATCTGAAAAGAGATTGTCTTAAGACAAATCTAATCTTATAGATTGAGTCCTGCCTCATTAGCATAATTGCCACTAATCCCATCTCTTTAACATCATAGAGATAGGATTTCTAATACATAGGAAAATCACATCAGAAGAGAAAATGGTGAACAATCACACAATTCTGGGAACCATGGACAAGTCAAATTGGTACACATATTTTTGGGGGACACAATTCAATCCATGACACTGGGTGACACAAAAAGCTACCAGCTTCGAGTGGGATCTAGAGCAGGAAAAGGCCCTGTAGCAGGTCCAGGCTTTAGTTGCAAGCCGTCTTGCAACTTGGTCCATATAAAAGACAGAGCCTGTGTTGGCAAAAGATGCTATGTGGAGTTTTTGGCAAGCACCAGTGGGAAAATCACAACTTTGACGCCTGCGATTCTGGAGCAAAGCCATATCATATGCAGTGGAGAATTCTTCACATTTACAAAACAACTCCTAACATGCTACTGACTCTTGGTAGAACTGGAATGCCTGACCATAAGACAACAAGTGGCCATGCAGCCAGAACTGCTCATCATGAAATGAATTCTGTCAGATTCACCAAGGTATAAGGTTGGGCAGGCCGAGCAATAAGATGGAAGTTTTACATATAGGATCAAGTACAAACGACTGGAGTACACAAGCAGCTGCACAATCAGGTAGAGTAGATCCTCCACGATATTCACTACTGTTGCTCTCCCAGCACGCTTGTCCCTCAGCTTACGCCTATGGCCTCATGCTGTTGTTGTTGTTAAGTGTCATCGAGTCAGTTCTGACTCATAGCGACCCCACGCACAAC